TCTCTCATATTTTTGCAAATGGACAAGCGTAGCACGATTCTCTCCTTGACTTTACCAACCTGATCAGGTAAAGGGGCACGTTCTTCAGAACAATATTTCTTAAAAGAAAATGATCTGTAATCTCTCCTGTATCGCAGGGGAGGCACAAAGGACATTCCACAGCTGATTAGCTTATTGTGCTTGCGCTTTCTGCAAAGGATTCCTGGTCACATTCTTGGAGAAGTGAAGGCTATACCGAGCAAGTCAATTCTGAGGATACAATTTTATAACCATTTTCTTTCAATCAGTTTCATTCCTAAATGACATTATTTTGTACTATCTCATTACTACAATCCTGTCATCTGAGTTAGGTTGAAACAGAATTAAACAAGTTTTTTTGGACATATTTTATCTTTTTAAGAATGCTGGACAATAGAGGTAGCTCTTCTTCTCACCCTGGAAATCTACCAATGCCCGAAGAAACTCACAGCCACCACGAGAAGATTGCCTTGCTGTTCTATGTGATCTGGTAGAGAACAGAGCTTCAATTTGAGAGGAATCTGTAAATTTAAGAACCTATCCTTCGGCATTAATCGTCATAATACAAAGTGTCCAGGAACCATAGAAAGTGAAATAAAACGAGAATGAAATCAGGAAAGAACAGTTGGCATTGCCAGTGTTTGAATCTAAGGAAACCATGATTAAGAAAAATTTTTAAGGATAACTGAGTTTGTCACAAGGAATTGGAAATTAGTATACTGGAGAAAATGGCTTTAAACAGGAATCTGTAATACCTCCTTCACTCTCCTAGGGGTGGTTTGGAAAGAGAAACAATTATCTATCTGTGTTACCTGGAGACGTCTTTATTGCCTCCTCTGTAAAGTTGAGTGGGATGGTGGATGGGACATTTCATCCTACCAAGAGACTTCTAATTCCCAGCATTCTCTGACTGAACAGGATTGGTCATGTTATATGTCTAAATAGAAAAGATCCTTCTGCCTGAAAGTAAAATGCCACTTGACATTTTCTGAAAGCCATAACTCAGGGAAATGGAAGAAGAAATACCAAAGCATTTTACCACAACAGGATGTTAGCAGGGTTTTTTTTCTTTCGATCTCCCTGTCAGCAGAGGTCCAAAAAGTCTGAAAACAAAATAATTAACTGATTGAGAGGAAAAAGAAGAAGAAAGTATGTCTATATTGTATAGTTCTACAGTGAGGTGATGGACTCCTTGTGTGTGGGGCCACTTAGCCAAGAAGGTAGCACCAGATTGATCCAGGAGACCCCCTCTCCCCAATCAACCACCACTCTAAGCTACAAAAGAAGGATGCAGACACCAAAAAGATTGCATCAGAGTTTTGGGTGTGCAGTGAGGAAGAAAGCTTCCCTCCCCCTCATGTCTAGCCTCCATTCACATAGACCAAAAAGGTTAATGTTTGCCCCAGAGGGTAAACATTAGAGGAAGTGTCTCGCAAACACCTGAAAAAGTGTACAGGCAAAGCACTGTGGCTGGAGCTTCCCAGCTGGGAGGGAGCAAGGGGCAACAGGAGACCAGCTGGCTGGCACTGCAAAAACATGTGAGTTTCCGTGGGCCAACCAGAAATTAAACCAAGAGTTGTGCAAGGTGGGGAGCTGGCGGGACAGAGCCACAGGAGGCCAGCCAAAGGGTATTCATTTGGAAATGCAATGCTGATGTCTCAAGTGGGTTCATCAAAGGACCTTCAACCCTACCACCAGCGAAAAAAGCAATCTTTGCACAGGATCGGAAAGCAGCAACACCAGGCTCCTCCTTCTTCTTCTCCATTTTCCTTACATCCTTGATGGATGGGAAACTGACCAGTGAGCTAAAGGGAAGAAGAGACAGTTCTCGCTGGTGTTTCACTTGCTCAGTAAAGAAGGTCACAGCGCATTCAACGGCATCATGGCGGGAGCTTTATGGAACTATTTTCTTGTCAATTTTGAGTTAACCTTATTTCTTTCCTTACTTGGAATAGATGGTAAATCAAAAGCACTACAACACTGTTATTCTTGAAGTAGGAGGTTCAGATACCTTTCTCCACACAAATTCTGCTTTGTGATTGTGTATGCATATCAGGAGGCAACTTCTTTTTATAAACATTTAATCGTTTTTACTGAATTAGTAATTAATAACCATCCAAAACAAGAAGCACAGATGCAGATAGTTTTACTGATGAATTCTACCAAAACATTAAGGAACAAATGATACCAATTCTCTACAATCTGTTTCAGAAATGAGAAGCAGAAGAATATTTTGTAACTCATTCCATGAGGCTAAACCAAAGATATTTTAAGAAAGGAAAACTGCAGACCAATATCCCTCTTAGACACAGATGCAAAACATCTGCAACAAACCATAAGCAAAGCAAATTCAACAATGTATGTCAAGAATGCACCATGAGCAAGTGGGATTTATCCCAGGTATGAAAATCAATTAATATGATTCATTACATGAACAGGCTAAAGAAGAAAAAATCATATGATACAATCAATCAGTAATCAGGATTACTACTATAATGCTACAATAATCAAAACAGCATGGCACTGGTGAAAGAGTATACAAGGAGATGAATGGAATAGAGAGATCAGCAATAGATTCATACACGTGGAATCAGCTGACAATTCATAATTGTATTATGCAAGATAGTCAAAATGGATAGCAGTCAAGATATAGCCTTCAGTGAGGGATGGATCAACAAATGTACATCCATACAACGGAACATTATCAAGCGATAAAATGAAGTGAACTATCAATGCATAGAAAGACATGGAGGAGACTTACATGTACATCAGCAAGTGAAAGGAGCCAATCTGTAAAGGCTGTGAAAGGACAGAGCGAGAGTGGGAAGCCATTTTTCATCGTGTTCTTAAACCGTGACACAATGATGAGAAAGTAGAAGCTATGGTTTTGGAGAAATGCACACTTCAGGTATAATTAACTTGACCGACTTTGTCTTTTCAGAAACAGACTTCCAGGTATCTGAGGTATCTCATAGTGTCAGTCAAGCTTGCCTAGAGTAAAGGGAATTTACAAAATAAGACATCATGCATTGGACAAGGATTGTAAAAGTCATGAAACTTGTAATTACAAAAGTTATAACCGCTCAAAGGGAGAGCAGGTGGGGATTCGATCTTCCAGTAAATTGGGCCCCATCTACAGGGAAGCCAAGGATTCTCCGAAGCTACCCACTGGGAATGCCTAGGAGATAAGGGGAAGGGCACCCTTCACTAGCTCTAAGGAATGTCATTTGGGAAGGTGCAGGAGAATCAGAATCCTTGTCACGCCCTTCTCTAGGGGCTATAATAATGTGGGCGGACATTAATGGCTCTCTGTGTCACAGGTTCTCCAAAACATCCACAGGTGGTCGATAAGGAAGTCACAGCAGTCATGGCAGTCACGTGCAACATCTCCAAGAGAAGGATTTAAGCCAGGACTCTGGGGGGCTACAAGGTCACACTCACCTAGAGTGTAGGCCCACTCCCTGTCTGTGGGGGATGAACCTTTCTTAAATAAATCTTTTCTTCTCTCACCTCTGTGTGTTACAACTCTTTGCAATTTACTCGGATCTCTGGGTTCCCAGCACGCACCTCTGACTTGCCAGCCCCCGCGGTGCTGTGCGCCTCCCTGCGCCTCTCCACCCTCACCCGGTCCATCCGTACCCTAATAGGCTGTGCAGTGTACGATTCTAACTATGTGACATCCTTATAAGCAAAATCCTAAAGAGAGTAAAAAGATGAGTGGATGCTGGATTTAGAGGAAAGTAAAAGGGGTGACTCCGTAGAACACAGGCCATTTTCAGAGCAGGGAGACTATTCGGTAATGATCCTGTAATGGCAGATCCATGACATTCTATTTTTTTCCAAACCCGTAGAACTTTATGACACAAAAAGTGAACTTTAAACTATGGACTTCAGTTAACAGTGTCAGTATTGGTTCATCGGTTGTATCAAATGTACTGTACTCATTCAAGACACTGTGTGGGGGTTGGGGTAGGAGTTGTATAGGGAATCTGTGTACTTTCTGTGCATTTGTGCTACAAACCTAAAATAAGTAATGTATGCTTCCTTTACTGTGGATATATGTAATATGCATGGCAAAAAAATTCCCAGTTGTATGAAGGAAAATACAATAGCCAAGATCATCCTTTCGAAATAAAATAGTTATTTAGTATGCAAGGTTAAATTATGAAAGCATGGAATAGTAAAAGTATAAGGAGCAAAAGAAAGGACAAAACTGCCTGGTGTTAGAGAGTAAGTGGGATGTAAGCAGGAGCTCTAGTAGAATGATGTGAAGAGGAGAAAAGTCTGAGCTACACAGAAAATCTAGAAGCCTTGAGGAGAGTGATGTCTAACATTCAAAGTGAAGCTCTTTGAACTGTTGTCACATAAACCCGTAAATTTTACCAAAACCAGGAGTAAAATCTGACATACATTCTGAGATAGATAGGTAGATGATGGTTAGATAGATATAGATAAGATAAAATAGATATATAAAGATAAATAGATTAGATAAATGATAAAGAGATAAGATATAGATCGATATATAAAAATTAGATGATAGATAGGAAGATCATTTACAAATAGATATATAAATGATAATACATCGATAATAGATATAGATAGATGATAGATGACAGATTATAGATTGATAAGATAGATGCATACATACAAGGGTAATAGATAGGTAGATAGATAGATAGATAGACAGACAGACACACGTTGTTTTTAGGGAAAGGGACTCATTTCTACAATTAGGTTGATTATGGAGGAGAAATGAAAGACAGGATGGCACTGAATAGAATCAAGAAGGCAATGGAGGCAAGAAATAAGAACCAGACATGGCCTTGAAAATATACGCCTCTGCCCACATACATCTGCCAACCCCACAAATTTTAGAGGTAGTCCCTGGACATTCTACACAGCATGGAGGAAGTTTGGGTCAATCTTGTCTATGTTTTTTCTAGAGTCCAGCTGACATCCGGGTAATGCTTAAAATTACTTACCCGTATGTTGAGTTGTCTTTGCTTTTCTTAAGTAAAGAACGTTCTGTTGGGTCTAAACCCGATTTCTCCTTAGAAGATAAAGAAATTTTCTCTTGAGTCTCACTTTCCATTAAATTAGTATCTCTTTCAGGAAGAGAAAGACAGTTTTCAATATTCCAATGCTTTGCCTAAAAAACAAAGAAATGTATTTTATTTTTATAAAATTTATTCTCCTCAATACACACACTCTTATGTGTGTCCACCATGTGCTATATTAATAATTGAAGTTCTGGGGGACACACAAAAAGAAGAAAAAGACATGATTCCTGTCCACAAGGAGCTTACAGTCTTATGAGGAGATGACACAGATTCACGCAACTTTAATAAAAGTAGAAAATGAGATGGGTCATAAAGAAGAAACAAAAGTTCTCTGAAGAGATAATAATGAACTGCAAAAATGTTTTCCCACTGTCACTTCAAAACCCTGGAGAGCGAGATGCATATTTACTAAAAACAAAACAAAGCTTTTGTTAAAGACTTGCCACTGTTAATTTTCCTGAAACTACTTTCTCTGCATCTTACTTCTTTAAAAAAGTCAGTTCAACTATTGAATATTTTTTCCCACATATAACATGTGTTGTATGACAGTTTTCACAAACTTGAGCTGCAATTCTTAAGAATCCATCTAGCAAAAGCTTCCCATTGATGGCCTGTTTCATGTTTGAAATACAGACCCGATTTTCTCGTCTTCTATCGGTCATATGGTACACACAGGTATGTGTGAGAGAACTCAGCCGTGTGAACCGAGGAGGCACCCTGAGAATATGTGGCGGATGACAAACCCATCAGCCTTGTCCTAAGTATTTTCTTTTTTTTTTTTTGAGTTGGAGTTTCACTCTGTCACCCAGACTGGAGTGC